TATCCACAATCATGTCTTCAAGCAACCACAACACTGTGTCAAGCCAGGCTGCGAGTGAAAGCACTCCTGCCATCCCATTGATGATGCCAAGCATGGGGACGACCTTTGCCCCGATCACCGCTGTAGGATCGATTGGCATGATCCCAATCATGTCAACTCCTACTCCTACGCCGACAACGACAATGTTCCCAGGCTCGATAACAACGCCTGGTGGAGCATTCACACCATACCCGTCAGCTTGGGTTTAATTTGCTGCTGACCCGGCAAATGCTCAAGCTCTGCAGGGCTATCAACAGGTGATGGCCATGATGCAACAAGCAGGGGGCTTCATGCCATTTGCCTATCCTGGCATGACGCCGCCAATCATGCCACCTCCGGTGTTGACCCCATCGACATTTGTACCTAGGATGGTCCCTATACGCCCGGTGAATCTGACGGGGACCATGAATGAAGCAGCACCATCAAATGTCCATGAGGTCGATGAGGCAGAGCAAGAGGCGGCCCGCAGGAGGAAGGGTAAGGCTATAGCCAAACCCAGCAAGACCCGAGATTCGGCGTTCAAACGCCTAGGGGACAAAGAGGATGGGCCCCGCAAGTCTGCCAAACTACGTCTTGGTCCTGAGACGGGCCGGACTAGCGCAATGGAAAGACTTGGAGGGAATCGTCCCGCCCAATCTCGTCGTTCTAGGGAATCTGAGACGATTCACCTAGACGAGGAGGAGGCTGAAAGCCAGCCCAGGGCATCGGCATATACCAGGCTCTCATATGATGAGGATGACCTTGACAAGATAGGGAGCGTAGCGAGAAAGCTACGTGCCCTGGAGAAAAAGGTGGACGAGAAGGCGGGAGCAAAGAAGCACACCCGGGCCAAATCACCCTTTTCGGCCAGGGTACATGCACAAAAATTGAGGCGGAAGGTCAAACTGGACGTGGAGAAATTCACTGGAAAGGAGGATCCAAATGTCCACCTTGACACCTTCCACAATGCAGCACAGATGGCCGGGTGCACTGATGCTGATGAGTGCTTGCTCTTCTTCTCATCCTTGAGAGGGAGGCCTGTGGAATGGTTTAACGGCCTTCCCCATGGCAGGATTGGGTCCTTTGAGAAACTTGCTGAAGTTTTCCGCAAGAAGTACCAGGACAACTGCATTAAGAGGAAGAAGTTCACCTACCTTAACACGGTAGGGCAGAGGGAGAAGGAGTCCTTGACTCAATTTTTAACCCGCTGGAGGGACGAGGTTGACAAGGTAGAAGAGATGGATGATAAGACGACCATGTCTTTACTGATGAATGCCTTCCAGTCGGGTGACCTCTACACTGAATTTTGTAGAAGGCCACCCTCCTCTTATCAGGAAGCCTATAATACGGCATGGGAATACGCCGAGGCGGAGGTCCTGAACAAGAGCAAGCGAGAGCTGGAGGAAGGCTATACAAAGGCGAAATCTGACAAGCCGAAGAAGGATGACCAGACGGGAGGGTCCAAGCCAAAGGCCACATATGATGGGTCCATCCACCAAATAAGGGATGATAAGAAGGGAGAGCAACCCAAGAGACCATGGACGGAGAAGTGGTGCACATACCACCAATCCGATTCCCATAACACGGCGGACTCCGAAATGTCAAGGCCGTGCTCAAGGAGATGGCCTTGAACGGAGAGCTGGGGGAAGGTTATGCAGCGGGGAATAAAGATCCGAAAGCGAACACCTGGACCCGTCCTCATGGAAAAGACCAGGGGAGGAAAAAATCTGAGAAGGATAACAACAAGCCGGATAAAGAATTCATCGAGATGATTGTCGGCGGCCCAGAAGGCGGGGACACTGCCTCCCAGCGGAAGAATTGGGCCAGGAGCTTGCACGTAGCGGTGGTTTCCCTGGAATCACAAGGGAAGCAGGCAAGGAGGGAACCTATCACTTTCACTGATAGGGATCTGCCCAGGACGGGGGGAGATCATAATGACCCTTTGGTTATTACAATGGATATCAATGGAGCTGATGTGGCCAGGGTCCTGGTTGACACAGGAAGCAGTGTCAATGTTCTATACTTAAATGCTTTCAAGAAATTGAAACTGGACAGGTCCATGTTGAGACCGTTGCAAACTCCATTGTCAGGCTTCACTGGAGCTAGCATAGAAGCGGAAGGTCAGATCACCTTACCGGTTACCTTGGGGTCGGGTAACAAAACAGTAACCAAGCAAATGAGATTTGTTGTGGTTGATATCAAGTGTGTACATAATGCCATTCTTGGTAGACCTGGAATCAACCAGGTCAGGGCCATCATTTCTATGGCACACTTATGCATGAAATTCCACACTCCCAATGGAATCGGGGAGGAAAGGGGTGATCAAAAGAATGCCCGGTCCTGCTACCTGGAAGCAGTCAAGAAAATGACCCGCCAATTCGAACAAATTGAATTGGTCTCCCAGCAAGCAGACAAGGGAGAGGAGAAGGCTAGAATCGAGCCGGATGCAAACAGATTGGGGCTGATCTTCAGGAGGAGTTAAGGACTGAGGTTGTCCAGGTGCTGACCAGGTATAAATCTTTGTTTGCCTGGAGTGTTGCTGATATGCCCGGAATTGACCGGTCAGTCATTTGCCATCGTCTCTCTGTTCTTGAGGGGTCTAGGCCTGTAAGACAGAAGAAGAGATTTTTGGCAAGTGATAGGAGAGATTTTGTAAAGACGGAGGTTAAGGACCTACTTGAGGTAGGTCATATCAGAGAAGTAAACTACCCTGAATGGCTGGCCAATGTAGTCCTAGCTCCAAAGGGTGATACCTGGAGGATGTGCGTAGACTACACAGACCTCAACAAGGCATGCCCAATGGATTCTTATCCTCTCCCCAGCCCGGACCAAATGGTTGACGAAACCGCCGGGTGTGAGCTGCTAAGTTTCATGGATGCCTTTAAAGGGTATCATCAGATCTTCATGGCGGAAGATGACGAGGAAAAGACGGCCTTCCTCACCC